ACAGGCGGAATTGAAACGTTTGTATACGCAATTGGAAGTGCTCAAAAATAAAACGATAAGATTTGATAATCCTCACATTTCGAAAAGGAGAGGAGGAAGAAAAATTGCTCACAGGAGGTTTTCGCTTCAGGTATTGATTTAAATACCACCCTGATGATGATGATAATAATGAAGATAATAATAATTCGTTTTTTTTATTTCTTTTTGCTAACCGTAGAAAAAGGGAAGCAGAGAAAAGGTCAGTCAATAAAATTTTTTTTTTTTTTTTTGTAGTCCAGACGTTTCGATAATTATGGTTTTCTTTTAGACGTTAAAACAACAAGCAAATAGAATGTCATCGAAACAAACGGATGTTGAAGTTACGGAAGCGGAAGCATCGCGAACTCCAGAAGATTCCGTTTGTTCGAACGAAGGTCCGAGTATTGTTATTAACGACGGGCCGAGCGATGCGACTCCACGTAAAAATCAAAAATAAAGAAAAAAATTTCGCGCGGGGTGGGGGGAGGAAAGGGGAGGCGGGAAGGAAGAGAAAGGGAAAGGGAGGAAACGTAACCGGAAATCGAACGTCATAAATTTTTTGATTTCATTTTGCGTTCGTTTCTACCATACGTAAAAGCAAAAAAAAAAAAAAATTTTTTCCCGTTCGTTTCGTCAGTGTAAATAATAATAATAATAATAATAATAATAAGAATAATAATAATAATAATAATAATAATGATGATGATGATGATGATGATGATGATGATGATTATGATGGTGATTTTCCAAATTAAAAAAATTTTCTTCCTTCCTTTTTTGCTTTTCCGCTCGAATTTTTCTGCGAAAAACTCTCTTTTTTTAAAAAAAAAATTACTTTTTAAAAAGAGGCAAGCCGGGGGGAGGGGGGAGGGACAGTTACAAATGAATAAACTTTTAAGTTGGTAGCCATGGTTTTTTTTACTGATGATTTATTTTAATATTTTTTAACACTGCAATTAAAAAGAAAATCCTCGTCTATCCAATTAAATCACGATTCGAATCCACATCATTATTATTATTATTATTATTATCGAAACCTTTCGTAAGGTTTGTTTAGGCGCCATTTTCTCCCTTCTTTT